GTGCCCTAAGTGATCAGAATCAGTGTTTAATCTCTGGGTATAATCATGAAAGAGAATCAATAAAAATAATTATTTTTTTCTTCAAAGGAATTGTTTGTTAAAAATATCTACCACGGGGGCACCTGGGTGGCTCAGTCAGTTAAGCATCTGCCTTTGGCTCAATCATAATTTTTGGGGTCTTGTGATCGAGCCCTGAATCAGGCTCCCTGCTCAGTGGGGAGTCTGCTTCTCTCTCTCTCTCTCTCTCCCCCTCTGCCCCTCCCCCACACTCATTCTCTCACTCTCTCTCACTCTCTCTCTCTTTCTCAAATAAATAAAATCTCTAAAAACACTCTACTACATTGGTAAAATTTGGGAAAATAGGAATTATTGCATAACACTAGTGGGAATGTAAGTCAGAACGATTTTGGAGAGCAATTCAACAATAACTATTAAACTTGAAGATGTGCATAGTCCACAACTCAATGATTTCACTTCTAGGTTTATACCCCAGAAAAATTCTCCCACAAAGGCACAAGAAAACATGATGTCCATTTACAGCACTCTATGTAATAACAAAAAATTGAAAACAATCTAAATGTCCATCAATATAGTAAAGAATAATCAAACTGTGGTGTACTCATGCAATTAGATAGTAGAATGGACAATTAAAAAATAAATGAATGAACTAGATCAGCATGTATCAACTTAGATAAATCTCAAAAACATAATGTAAAAACAATGATTACAAAAGAATAGTATAGTACCAAACCATTTAGGTACATTTTAAAAACACAAAAACTAATACTGCATATTGTTTGTGCATAAATACACATATGATAAAAAAAACACTAAGCAATAATTCACACAAATTTTAAAACGGTGGTTAACTCTAATGAAGGGTGGAGGAGAAAGGAGATTAGCATTAGTTATATCAATAATGCTTTACAGATACCTTTTTTTAAAAAATGAGCTTTGAATCAAATGTAACAAAATGTAGACTTGGTTATTGGTCCACAAATGTCTCTCATTATCTCTTGATTTATTTGAGCTATTTTATGATCAATCTTGCTAATTTATTACACAATCGAAATGATGCTACCAAAATTGATTTCAGAAATATATATATATATAATGAAATGAGGTGTTTTGGTAATTAGTCTGATTCCAGTTGTCAGGTTATAAAATATATTGATCCAAAGTATATGAACTTTGTAATCAGACTGCCTTGATTTAAATGCTGGCTCTGATATTTGTAGGCTGTGTGGTCTCAGATAAGTCATTTAACCTTCTCTGTGCCTCAGTACCATCATCTGTAAAACAAGGATCACAATAATATCACCTACCTTGTAGGGTTGTTATGAAGATTAAATGAACTAAAATAACCTGGGATATCATGTCTGAAAAATGTTAGATATTATTATGTTCTGGCAAAAATAAGAGTAGCAGTTGTTCATCAAATTTTTTCCTGAATTACCTTATTTATATGTCTACACTGGTTAAATGTATCAAATAATCACTCATTTCTTATATTCTCTACCTCTGAGGACTAACCAATTAACTAAGAATTTCCAGTTGTTAGAGTTTTTAGAGAACAATTATAATTAATTAGTATATTTAAGCATTGTTCAACCTATCACACAACAGATTACTTGTGGTCAAAACTATTTGATGAGCTACAAAGGGAAGCACTGTCTACAAAAATTCTATTTAGTTAAACATCACCTATTTTGCACATCATATGTATTGACAAGTTGTCCAACAATTTCTCATCTTTCATATATGTCTGTGTTAAATCTGCAACTAGAATAATTTGTTGACAAATGGGAGGCTTTTTTAAGTTAATTTAGAATTTGAGACTGTGCATTCCTTTCTTTCTCTAATTTCACTTTTCTCTTTTTTTAGTCCTCTGATAAGTTTCTCATCAGAAATGATAATGTTAACTGATCACCCTTTTTAAAAATATTTTATTTATTTATTTATTTGACCAAGAGAGAGCACAAGCAGGGGGGAGCAGCAGGCAGAGGGAGAGGGAGAAGCAGGTTCCCTGTTGAGCAGGGAGTCTGACGTGGGGCTTGATCTCAGAAGCCGGGATCATGACCTGAGCCGAAGACAGATGCTTAACTGACTGAATCACCCAGGTGCCCCTTAACTGACCACCCTGACTAAGGATTTATAGTGCACATCATAGGAGCCATTAAAACAATGAAGTTTGGTTTTTTTTTTCCTTTCTTTTTTTCTAGAAAGATTGGAATTAACTGTTTCCTTTTTAGACAAATACACTTTTGGATTGCCAGTGATAAAAGGGGCATACAAATGTTAAAAGCATTGTGGCACAGTGGGATTATGTGCTAAGGTCCATGGCAAGACAGACAAACAAGTGGAGTTTCAGATCAATCAAACAGTTACCTCAAACAAAAATTTCAGATGACCAACTTTTGTTTTATCTTTGCCAATGCCAATGAAAAGTTCAGATGAAGTTTTATTATGTTAACTACTTACATTTCTTTTATTTCTTTAACCATTTGTAAAAATAAAGGAATTTTGCTAGAAGAAATTGGAAATTTGTTGAAAGGCAAGTCAATTTAAAATTAAAAGAACACATACTATATATAGTTTTCTTCCTATTAAAGCACCATGAATTAGGTTTTAAATAGAAGCCATAATTATGTTATGTGACAGAACCTATATTTAAATGTTCTCTTTGGAGATGGCACTAATGATCTTTCATACCGCATTTCATTGATAAATATGAAAGCAAAAAAAATCATAATTTTATCTTAATTTTCAAACCATATTAAGGGAAAACTATCTTGGTTATTTCCATATAGTAAGGAAAAAATCATGACGTGCATAACCACCATTTTGAGTCCCAGGAGAATTATTTACAAGCACTCCACTTATTTTTAATTCACTTTACATGAATTTTCCATGATCAAGATCTTCGGGTGTATTTATAACATACTGTGATTTTTTTTTTAAACTGCAGTACCTAGAGGATTTACAATTTAAAACAGGTCGCAAGCTGACAGCCCATGGGCTAGATACAGACCATAGATGATTTTCTTCAGCCTACATAGTTATTCTTTCTTTTCCTTTCTTTATTTTTTTGGTTTTGTTTTTGCTTTTATTGAGTTGGTTACCAACATTTAAGAATTAGGGAATTTCATATAAAAATCTGCATTCCTGGCTTCTCTTAAAAACTCAGAGTTTAATAATATTTGGCCTACATTCCCACATGGTGGCAATCAGCTACACTGAGTAATAGCTGACACCTTTGGAAAGAATATATACTCTCTAGGTCACCCTAGTCCCCACCACTTCCTATTGCTTATGGCCTTTCATTTACATTACCAGCCTTGCATCAGTAAGCATTAGAGTTTGCGACTCTCCCATTTCTCTGTAGTTTATGTAAGTGAATCAGTGCATATACTTTTAAGAACATTTCATGGTTTTTCTCAGATTACAGCAAATGTAAAAACTCATTACATATATATGTACATATGTAATGTGTGCTCTGATTAATCTAAAATAAATCTATACAGTTATAAACTACTGATATAATTAATTTAATGAAGAGAACATTATATTAATTTGCATGTCATTTTACCAGGAAAATTAAAATAAAATGAAAGTCAATTTCAGTGTCTGAATTCAATTGCATTCATTTAAAATACAAAAACATTTACTTTCAATATCCCAAACCTAAACTCAAAACTCAAACTATGTAAAGTTTTTCAGTTAAAATCATTCGTTAATGAAATCTAGTGGGTTCTAGTCTCCCCCAACACGAAAGTTACAGTCTAATAGAAAGTTTGGCACTTAAGGAGGCACATCCACTGCTTCAGGTCACTTGGGTATTATTTAGTGTGCATGATATTTAAATAATATTTAGAATAGGAAATGTCCCAGATATTACAAACATCACCATAGTGGTTTTCATTTTCTAAATTGAAAACCCACACGGCATGGTCCCCATCTCCCCCATAACCCTATGGCATTTTTGTTGTAGAAAAAAATATGGATAAAACATATTATCAAGGGCAGCCCTGAAGAAATTGGGGAAAAGTCACCAAAGGGTGATTTAACCTGAGAAAGGTATATGGAAGAGAAGAGGGGGCACAATTGTCAGGCAATATCAAAATGTACTTTTGTACTTTATTACCATGGGTTGCCCTCCTTTTCCCTTGCTTCTTTGAGTTACTGTCCATTATTCTCCACATTACAACCTAAAAGGTATAAAGTCTAGAGCAATATGGTATCTCTCATTGCAATTCAACTGAAATTGCCATAGATAATTTTAAGAAGTTTCAAACATAAATCTTCTTAGACTTCCAATTTTTTAAAAAAATGTATTTTTAGAAAAAAATAATTTCAAATATTTTAGAACTACTAGCATGCTTACAGAATATATCCATGCCTAATGCTTAGAACAGCTCCACAAGATTAGATGGCTTATTTTTTTTCCTTTATTGCTTTACCAGCACACTTAATAACCTGTGCTGCCCTGCAAAAGTGAATGTACCTTCCTAAGCATTCCAGAGTCATGGGATGAGTGAATTACCTTCTCGTTATTTTACACAGGTGTCATGGTTTTTGTGTCAATGACCCTCACTCAACCCACATCAACTTTGCAGCCTTTTCCTAGCTTCTGCTTTAGTTCCCAGGAAAGAAGTTGTTCCCTGTGACTGGAAGTCATCTCCCCACTGCATGGTCCTAGGATCCATTCCCAGTTAATACATATGAATGATTACTGCCAATAATGAAAGTGTGAAGACCCAATTAACTAGTACCCTCAAATGGATAGACAGGGTCTAATTAGCTATTTGGATTTCATATTTCTTATTATTAATTAAGGATTAATAAAGATTCAGCATTTGCTCTGAAAATTTTAAATGGCTCTACTTTCCTACCTTAATAATTACAGTACAGGGAACAAAATTATTGAAGTTGGGTTGAATCTATACCGGCTCCAGGACATTCCCAGGAAGTTGATTTTTAAAAAATAAATACATAAATACCTGTTAACAGCTTGTTTTCTTGTCATTTGCCTCTTCCTTCTAAAAGGAGAGTATAGCAAAAAATAAATAAATAAAACTGGTTAATTGAGAGTTCTGGTTAGTTTGCTTCCAATTAATCAAGGCTTTATTATATTTCACAAAAAAAAAAATCTTGTTCAATTCTTCAGGAACTTTAGATAGGTTACACACAATGAAACACCAGAAGGGAAGAGCACAAAGAAGGTAAGAAAGCCTGAATTGTTATTGTTAAGATAATGTTTTAAATATATGGACAATGCTATTGTAGTTCTGGTCTAATCCCCACTGAGTAAAGAATAATGTGAAATGTCATCTTGTTTAGGGCTTTTCCATATATGAAGGCAAGGAAAAAAGGTTATAGATTTCTGTTGAAAAAAAAAATGGCCTCGGGTCGTAACAATTCCTAAGAAAGTTTCTGCAATATTGTGTCTTCTTCCTTTCTCTCAAGAGTCTTCTTCCCATTTCAATGGGTATTCCAATATATTTAGGAGGAAAAAAATCTCTTTCTAGGGTTTTGCCCCCTATTTTCATTTGGCCAACAGGATGATGAAAGTGAACCAATATCAATGTTATGCCTTAATTTTCTAAACATGGAGCTATTAATCACACAGCTCACTATACACTTATTTCTGGAGCAATAATAAACTATCTTACATCCTTCCCAAAAGGGTTACACACGCATACACACACACACACACACAAAGTCATACACACACCCATACAAAATAAACACATACAAAAGAGATTAATAAAAAACCCACAAAATTAGTTTAATTAACAAAACAAACATTCTTTCTAATAGTATAGTATTTCCTAGTGTTTCCAAACTCTTTAGTGAGGAACTATAAAATCTAAAACAACATGCTGCTTCTGGGGAAGATGGCAGAGTAGGAGGATCCCTGTACCCTACTTGTCACCTCATCTTGTGGTTACACCTAAATAATATCCACATCAGAGTAAATAAACCAGAAAATAACCAAAGACTGGCAGAACAGACTCTCCATAGCTAAATGTAGAGAAACCACATCAAAAAGGGTAGAGAGGGCAGAGATATGGTCAGGACCCAAACTCACCCATAGGACTGTCCATGGGAGGGAGGGACATCTTGGGCTAGGAAAAGAGAGGAGCAGACCCTATACCAGACACCAAAGGCATTAAGGACCCATACTGGGAAGATGAATTCCCATAATATTTGGCTTTGAAAACCAAGAGAACCTGTTTTGTGAGTTCTTACAATCAGTGAGTCTTAACACCTGGAACTTTAAAATTCAGCAGCTCCACTCTGGGAAAGCCAGAGAGTGATTGGAACCTGAGTCCCTGCCCTTAAACAGCACAATAAACAGCCCCACTGAAACGCAGCATAGAAGCAACGGTTTGAACAATGCCTAGGGTATACAGGAAGGAGATTTATTTACTAATCTCAGAACATGTGCTGGGGGAGGGATCTTTGGAAGACTCCTAGAATAAAAGAGCTTGTTGGTGCAATTTCCCTCCACTTCCCTACAGCCTACCTACCCAGACAACTGTGGGAACCAGTGCAGGATGAGCACTCTCCACAAAGCTTGCCTGACCCCTGTGCTCTTTTACAGACCATCCCCTCCATCCCAGACTGGGCAGTTTTCCCAGGGTGGCTGGGGGTCTCCTTCTGCAGTGGAATAGCCTAGATCTTCCTGGCACTGTGTGCCCCACCCCACATTCTCCTGTGGACATGCCCCTTCCAACATGCCCTTGGCAGGAGACCATCCAAAGGAGTGCCACAAGCCTGATAGAGTGAAGCAAACCTGATAGAGGTCAGAAGTACTCCAAAGTGACTCCTGCCCCAGGAAAAGAAGAAGATAACCACAAACACCATTCCGACTGCAAACCCAGCAGTGGGCTGGGAGCACACATCTGGTCTGACTGAAGGACCCACCCACCAATGACAGCTTCTCAGGGGACAAAACAAGGAGAGCACCCTGCACTTTGGTGCTGCCACAGCTCTGGCAAATGCATGGTCTGATTCAAATCAATCTTAAAGTGGCCCCAGATTTGCCTCCTAACAACAGAGGGATCAAACCCCGACCACGAGGCAAAGAGAGCCACTGCAGACAACTATACTGAATGCAAAAGCAGGGTACATGCAACAAACATAGAAGACACCCCAGAAGTGCCAGGTTATGGTGAACCAGGGACATTGCATTGCAGAGCACCACAGGGCATCTTCATACGGCCACTACTTTCAAGAGAAGGAGACATAACTGACTTTCCTAACACAAAGAAACAGACACAGAGAGTTAGACAAAATGAGGAGACAAAGAAATGTGACATGAAAAAAGGGACAAAATCACAGCAAGAGAGCTAAATGAAACAAAGATAAGTAACATGACCAATAGAGAATTTAAAGTAATGATCATAAAGATATTCACTGGACTTGGAAAAACAGTGGAAAGCCTCAGAGTGACCCTTAACAAAAAGATAGAAAACATAAAAAGAACCAATCAGAAATGAAGAACTCTGCTGCTCCCCATGCTTGTGTTCGCTCTCTGTTAATAAATAAATAAATTAATTAATTAATAATAAATAAAATCTTTAAAAAAAGAAATGAAGAACTCAATAACTGAAATTTAAAATGCACTAGAGGAAATAAAAACTAGACTAGAGGAAGCAGAACAGACCAGTGACATGGTGGACAGAGGAAAGGAAAGCAATCAAGCAGAATGTGAAAGAGCAAAAATAAAAATAATAAATGAAAATAGACTTAGGGAACTCAATGACACCATAAAGCATAAAAACGTTATCATTATAGGGATCCCAGAAAGATAAGAGAGAGAAAAGGGGGCAGAAAATGTATTTGAAGAAATAACAGCTGAAAATTTCCAGAATATGGGAAGGAAACAGAAATCCAAATCCAGGAGACACAGAGAGCCCCCAATAAAATCAACCCAAGGAGGTCCACACCAAGACACACACTTATTAAAATGGCAAAATGTGGTGATAAGAGGGAATTTTAAAAGCAGAAGGAGAAAAGAAAACATTACATACAAGGGAAACTCTGTAAGGCTATCAGTTGGTTTTTCAGCAGAAAGTGTGCAGGCTTAAAAAGAGTGGCATGATATATTCAAGTGCTGAAAGAAAACAAAACCTGCAACCAAGAATATTCTATCCAGCAAGGCTATCATTCAGAATAGAGGAAGAGACAAAGAGTTTCTCAGACAAACAAAAGTTAAAGGTATTCATCACCACTAAACCAGCCTTCAGGAAATGTTAAAGACGACTCTGAGTGGAAAGGAAACCTCTGTGTAGGCCAGAGTGGAAAGCAGGAGTAATAAAAGTAGGAAGCACAAAAGCACTAAAATTAATTATAGCTATCAAAATCAGTCAAAGGATTCACAAAATAAAAGGATATAGAGTACAACACCATATATCTAAAATGCTCGGGGAAGAGGAGTAAAAATGTTGTGCTTTTAGAATGGGTTCAAACTTAAGCAACCATCAACTCAATACAGACTGCTATATGCATGAGATGTTATATATACAAGCCTAATGGTAATAACCACAAATCAAAAACTGGTGATAGGCAAAAAAAAAAAAAAAAGAGAAAGGAATCCATGTATATCACCAAAAAACAAAAACAAAAACAAAAAAACAGCAAATCATGAGAGAAGAGAGCAAGAGAAGGGAGAAAAACCACAAAAACAAGTAACAAAATCGCAATAAATACATACCTATCCATAATGACTTTGAAGGTTAATTGACTATATGCACCATTCAAAAGATATACGGTAAAAAAAAAAAATGGATAAAAGAGCAACACCCATATATATGCTGCCAACAAGAGATTCATTTCAGACTTAAAGACACATGCAGTCTGCAAGTGAAGGGATGGAAAAACATTTACCATGCAAATGAAAGTGAAAATAAAGTGAGAGTAGTAATGCTTATATCAGACAAAATAGACTTTATAAAAAGACTTTAACAAGATAAAGAAGGACACTACATCATCATAAAGAGAAGAATTCAACAGGAAGATATAACAGTTGTAAATATTTATGATCCAACATGGGAGCACCCAAATACATAAAGCAGCTGATAATAAACATAAAGGGAGTAATTGATAGTAATACAATAAAAAGGTATTTTAATGCCCCAATTACATCAATGGACAGATTATCCAAGAAAATCAACAAGGGAACAGTGGCTTTGAATGATACATTAAATCAAATGGATCTAATAGATATATTCAGAACATTCCATCCCAAAACAGCAGAATACATATCCTTTTCAAGTGCACATGGGACATTTTCCAAAACAGATCACAAAACAAGTCTCAACAAATTAAAAACGATCAAAGTCATACTATGCATCTTTTCCAATGACAATGCTATGAAACTAGAAATCAACCATGAGAAAAAACCTGGAAAGAACACAGATACATGGAGGTTAAATAACATGCTACCGCACAATGAATGGGTCAACAAGAAATCAAAGAAAAATAAAAAAATACATGGAAAGAAATGAACATGAAAACACGATGGTCAGAACAATTCTAGATGCGGCAAAAATGGTTCTAAGAGGGAAGTTTATACCAATAGAAGCCTACGTCAAGAAGCAAGAAAAATCTCAAAGAATCTAACCTTACACCTAAAGAAGCTAGAAAAAGAACAAACAACACCGCAAAAGAGTAGAAAGAAAGAAAAATTAAAGAGTAGAACAGAAATGAAAGAAATAGAAACCAAAAAAAAAAAAAAAACAAATAGAACAGATCATTGAAACCAAGAGCTGGGTTTTGAAAAAAAAAAAAAAAGAGAAAAAACCTTAAGCAAAAATAAAAAAAAAAAAAAAAAAAAAAAAAAAAAAAAGGAAGGGACTCAAATAAAACCAGAAATGAAAGAGGAAAAATAAATAACAACCAACACCACAGAAACACAAAGGATCATAAGATTTTGAAAAATTATATGCTGACAAATTGGACAACCTAAAGGAAACAAATAAATTCCTAAAAACATATGACTCCTAAAACTGAACCAGGAAAAAATAGAAAA